ACCTGAGTCTTGTTGCTGATCATGTCCATCCCTTTATGACCACAAAACCGTTACTAGCGTGGTGTACCTAATAAAGTGGCCGGTGAGTGTAAATGCTCAGTTTAGATTCTTTCTTGGCTCAAATCTGGTTTGTGTGGTCGTTGACGTGGTTTAAAGTGGACCTCCATCAGATTGAAGTCTACAGACGACGTGACGTCAGAAGTAAACAGATGCTACACRTGTTGTGTGGATCAGTTGTGAAGCTGTGCAAACAAGACAGGTAAATTATTATTTGCTGTTCTTTTTTTCGTCCAGATCTTACATTTGGTCTTGCTGCTTCCTGCCTACTCAGGTGCAGAACTGCACATGTGGAACGGGATGACTGAAAGTAGAAGCAAACTTGAGTATCGTTTTCATCTTAATAGTATCAGTATCGAAATCTGGTTTRAGTCACATATGGACAAAGAAATGGATGTGGGCCATTTCTGTCTGCAGTGTGATTATGGGATTTAGTTTTTTTTTTCTTTTTACATCTGGATTAATTTGAAGAACAAAAAAGTTTGGAAAAACCTTTGTGTTCCCAGTCTGCGTTGCAGTTTTTCTGTATTAAAACATTAACACTAGGTAGCATTTGTGATTTCAAAATAAAAGTTATGTAGGAACTAGATCTGGGCAATATGAGCCAAATTTTAAATCACAGTATTTTCAACAATTACACCGGTTTCACTGTATTTTTTTCCCTCACAGCTCAGCTGATAATAAAATGTACAAACTTTGCTTATTGATTTTTTTTTTCTTTTCCTGTACCTCTGTATCACTGTTTCCCTCCTCTGTACCTCTTTTCTTCTTTGGTTGTAAACAGTAATCATGCATTTAGGTCCGATCATGAAGGGTTGAGAAAAAAATCATTATCTGGTCTATTGTTATGTGTTAATAAAACTTAAAAGGACGACTCACATTGCACACCAGTCAACTCCGCTACACTACAAAACTACTTCCCCTCAGGCTTTTCACAATAGAAGTACGTTAAAGTCTCCATGCARTAACGTCTCCATTATAACGTTGCGCGTTAAATCTAACCGTGCACGACACTGAAGAGTTGTTTACTACATTCAGCGATGGTGAAAATGGGATGTTATTTTTTTACGTCAGACCATATAAGCGTCTGAAACACACCACCCGCCGCCAGTTGTTCCAACAATAACGTTAGCATGCTAATGCGCTTAGCGGTGCTGCGAGGAAACGTGTCCCCTGGGAAACAGTTCACTGGCGGCCACGACAAAACGTTCCGCACGAGTCCAGGCTATTTACACCGGTACTCAGAAAATTCCTATCATAACAAAAATAAAAACCGGTTTTCGGTACAAAACGGTATACCGCCCAGCACTAGTAGGAACTCTGTATTTTCCTATCATCTTCACCACAGTTTGGTTCATCAGAGGGAGARTTTAACTCTKTTGTGTTCAGGTGCGGCCACTGCCAGAGACTGCAGCCTGCCTGGAACGAACTGGCAGACAAATATAACAGCATGGACGACCCACCAGCGTATGTGGTCAAAGTAGACTGTGTCCAGGACACCAAGTTCTGCTCCAATACGCACGGTGTCCGAGGCTACCCTACGTAAGTAACATACGACTCCTGCTTGTGCTTGTTTATCCGTCCTGTTTGGAAACTGAACCCAAATCTTTGTTTTGCGGATGAGCGAACATTTAATTAAGTCTTAGACAAGCCTGATGTTAGCAGTTTGTTCTTACAGCTTCCTTTCATTGCTTTCCATGGAAAGCAGTTTCCTGTAAATCAGCAAAGTCATGCATGTGTTCTAAAAACAACTGGACCAGAAGTTTATTAAAGCATCACAACAAGAAGAGACAGAAAGTAGTTAAAGCTGACAGTATTTTCAACTAAATATGTTCCAGTTACCTCTAAACCTCTGAAAAACAGGGTTTTTTATGTTTAAAATGAAATATAAACTACTTGTTTTAATGTAAATACCCTCAAATTAAAGCAGAAATTCATATGATTTTAACTTTAATACTTTTATTATACTATTACAACTGAAGTGTTAAAATTTCACTGCAGCATTTAGAGTAAAACACTTTACAACATGATAATTTAACTTCATTTAGTTAAATATTCTGTTACAGTCTTCATGGTTTAACTGACTACTAGACATGATTTAACCCTTTATTTCATCCTCATTRTGTGCAGATTAAAGTTGTTTAAGCCGGAGCAAGAGGCCATAAAGTACCAGGGTCCCAGAGATGTGCAGTCTTTGGAGACGTGGATGCTGAAGACGCTGCAGGAGGAGCTGTCGGTGAGTGGTCCTCCCTCTCATCAGCACCTTCCATCATGGTTTAGAAGTGCTGCTCACACCGTCCGGTRCTCCTCAGGAACCGGAGAGCGAACTGGAGCCTCCTAAAGCCCCCGAGCCCAAACAGGGCATGTACGAGCTCACAGCCCAGAACTTCAAGGAGCACATATCCAAAGGTAAGCATGATTCAGCGTCGAAGTCCAGCAGCAGTTTTAGTCAATAAATAACTCAGTTTACAGCTGGGTAGTTTCACTTGTTGTGAATTTGAATGTTCTTTCAGTTTTCACACCTGGGTTTTGTTCCTGCAGCGTGGAAACGCCTCGCTGCTCTCATTAAGTCACATCTAAGAGCAGAGAGTGTGAAAGCTTTGTGTTCCAGGTTTTTCCAGCTGTCGGGTCAGAACTCACCAGAACCGACTCAGTGATGTTATAGTCGAATTCCTCTGCTTTGTGTTCTTGTTTGCATGTGCAAACAACGAGATGTGTTTATGGCTCCGACTGTCATTTCCTGGCAGCGGCGACTCAATAAAGCTGATGTAACCAGATTAATCTGCAGGTATTTATCCACAACAGTGGAAGTTGAGAATAAAAATCTTGACTTTTTGTTTTGTTTGTTTATTTTCTCTTGTTTATATCCAGGTGCTCATTTCATTAAGTTCTTTGCTCCCTGGTGTGGTCACTGCAAAGCCATGGCGCTGACGTGGGAACAGCTGGCCTCCACCTTCGAGCACTCCGACGATGTCAAGATTGGAAAGGTGGGCCTCTCAGATTGAGATTATTCTGTCTACTGTAATCTGAACCAACGGTTTGGGAAATGTCAGTTCTTATTTTTGGTCTATAATAGAGCTGGGTAGGGTCGGGCCATAAATCGATTTAATCAGTTTGAATTTCGAAGACTTATTTTTGGGAAAATCAAGATTTTTTTTCCCACCAGTGCACTCTTTGGGGCTTCTGTAGTTCAGAGGTCACCCCACYTGTCCCTCAAGACACCTGGTACATGACATGACMGTATGGCAGCTGGCAAACAGGATCTACTTCCCAAAAAAGGCACGGTTTCTTCATGATGTCACAAGCACTTTAAGGTTTCAACTACAGCAAATTGGGGTTAAGACCCCACTGTGGGTCCTAAAACTCCAAATTTTGGGTCGTTAGAGTATAAGTATAAAACTGAGTGTTTCTGCTGTAGGTAGGTATGATTAAAAATGTTGGTCTATTAGAAATATTTGAACACTTCAACCAAAAATACTTTGATTYATGAGTTTCTGCCAGTTTTTATTTTTGTCATTTGGGTTTATTATGAAATAGGTTTTGAATTTAATTTGACTTGGCATTAAAACGTCTTAAATTTAACTTGACTTAAACTGTAGGAACCCTGGATTTGGCCATGAGACCCAGCCCTAGTCTTTACWACAGATAATCAGGATTAAATAGCTTGAGTTGTTTATTTAATGACTCTTTAACAACCTGAGAGCCTCAYGACTCCACCTGGAGCTGATGATTAACTTGTCCTCAGGCTCATTTCACAAACTGTTYGTGTAGTTTACTGTTAGTCTGTGTTGGCTTAGTGATCCTGAACGGTTTGTTTTATAAAATAAACAACRTTAAATGTCAAAGACTGACACAGATAAAAAAATAAAACCGCTTCTGTAKCCTGAGCTAGCTGATCTGAGTGTTGATCTGATCCTCTGACCTACCAGAGCAGCATTATTAAACCATTGTGTTTCAGTGTGCTAACAGGTGTGTTAACCTGTGCAGGTGGACTGTACGCAGCACTACGAGATCTGCTCTGAGAACGGCGTGAGGGGGTATCCCACACTCCTCTTCTTCCACAACGGGCAGAAGGTACGGAGCTGGGTTCAAATCAAAACAATCAGCTCTGGTGTTTGCATTTCAGCGCTGCGTAACCCCACACCCTGTTTGAATTCACGCCGCTGCCGCCTCGCTCCTCGGGCCGTAATCAGGTTCTTGGCTTTTCACAGAAAGAGCAGTACAAGGGGAAGAGAGATCTGGACACGTTCAAGGAGTTTGTGGACGGCCAGCTCAAAGCTGTGCTCACCGAGGAGCACGAAGCAACCAAGGAGCAAAAGACAAACGAGATCCCCGCTGACGAGCCTGAGCAGGAAGTAAAGGTCAGCGCTCAACACGCCTGAGCTGTCCAATCAGATAGTTTCTCTAAATTATAAATAAACTAATAAMGTTTCCATTTTATGTTCTTCTTCCTGCAGTCGAATGTGTTGGTCCTGACTGAGAGCAACTTTGATGAAGCCGTAGCAAAAGGCTTCACTTTTATTAAATTCTACGCTCCGTGGTGAGTCCCAAACAATCCCGTGGCTTTTTTTATAAATAAGTTTAAACTGCTGCAACAGTTGAAACTGACGAGATGACCAGTTTCTGATTAAAACTCTGCTCCGATCAGTCGATCACAGTGACGGTGTTCCTCTGCCTTAGGTGTGGCCACTGTAAGAACCTGGCTCCCACCTGGGAGGACCTGTCCAAGAAGGACTTCCCCGGTCTCACCGACGTCAAGATCGCTAAAGTGGACTGCACGGTGGAGCGCACGCTCTGCAACAAGTACTCTGTGAGTTCTCACAGTTTTACACTTTTATCAGCTGATGAAGTGGGTCAGGCTGCTCATCAGAGGGGTTTTAACTCTGGGATTAAAAATAAATAAATCCAGCCGTGGTGTTTTTTTTAATTCAGACGGAAAATCTGCAGCAGCTGTTTTTGGCAGCTGATTGTGTGATGAAGGTTGTCTGCTATTAATGAGAGGGTTTTGTATCAATGTGAGCACACACACACACACACACACACTTAAATCAGTGTCTCCCTTATCATTGTACAAGGAGGGCAGCCCCCCCCCCCCAATAACTCCAACCTTTGGGGTCGTATTAATTATGGGAGTAAATTCTGACCTTTTTTTTTCTAATATATTACCACAATAAGTTCAAATATTTTTTAGGTGTAAAACTAAAAATATTGTTTCATGGGGGTAAATCCTCAACTCCCCCCCCACATGTCACACAGAGCATATGAACATCCGTAGTCGTTTTTTTTTTTTTCACATCAGAGTCAGAGGAGATAAAAGGGATGCACCGATATGAAAATTTCAGCAGATATCGATGTCCAATATTATTATTATTATTATTATTATTATTATTACTGCTGTTATGGCCGATAACCAATATTTACAGATTACACAAACACAAAAATTATTTATATACGTGTGCATCCCTACTTGCATTTTTTTTCTATCATTTATTTAGATTTATTTTGAGATGAAAAGACATTTGCTTCTTCATAAGTCCGTCTTCCTGCTTTAACAATCAGCTTCCACAGCAGATCATTTTCAGCAGCATGTGGAAGCTCACATGTATGGCAGGCTGTTTTTACATTTAATCRTCTTCACCACACTTCCAGACATCTGAAATGAGTTTGACCAGATACGATGTATAAGATTCAACTAATGCTAGTTGAATTGCAGACTTTTTTATGTTCTGTAGTTTTTATTTAAAAAACAAAAAGCTTTACTGTCTTTTTATAAATACTAGTAAAATCTCTGCTGTCAATCATCATGCTTTGTTCAAAAGCCCCGCCCTCCAAAGGCCAACACACTGTCAGTGGAACTAAAATGGAAAGTATGTGTATTAAAAACAAAAGGTTTAATGTATTACAAAGTCAAACTGCTGTTTGTAATTTTAACTTCTTTATGGGGAGAGTAAAACTGTGCTTTTCATCAAAGTCGTGGTGAACATTTAAATTTTAACAATAAAAGTATTTTAGCCACAGAGGAGGTCAGGCTGTCAGAGCTCCAAGAAAAAAAAAACACCTCATTAGTTTTATCTGTGTTTAATTACCACAAAACACAGGATATGTGACGTTTTAATGAAACGAGAAACTTGCTCATGTAAAGTTTTTCTTATATTAATCTCATTATTGTCCGTTCCCTCAGGTGCGAGGTTACCCCACCCTGATTATTTTCCGTGCCGGCGAGCAGGGCGAGGAGCATCACGGTGGGCGGGACCTGGAGAGCCTGCACGGCTTCGTGATGAGGCAGGCCAGAGACGAGCTGTAGGGACGAGCCAATCAGAGCTCACGCTTCACTTTACCTGCTGCTCTGAGCAGCCATCTTTGTTTCTCTCTCTTCTGGAAGGAGTTAAAGCCAGACCCTTGTGGTCGTTTGTGTCTTTTTCTATTTTAAAGACAGAATAATTGAGTACTCTGAATGTACCCCCCCCCCCCCCCCAACTCCACCTTAAATCTCCTGTAGTTTTTATGATTGGTGGTTGGATCTGACCACTGCAAGCACTGCTCCACAACCAAAAACTCACAAGTTACTTTTAAAGAAATGGCACTTGTTTTTTTGTTTTTTTTTATTTAAATTTTTGTATTAAAACAAATCTGGTTCTGGATTTGACTTKCAGTGCTAAACGTTTGGATGTGTTGGGCTCTGTGAGGCTGAGTTTTGATTTGAAGGTACTTTACGTTCACGCCGATGATGGCCTATCTGACAGAACTCTCAGGGAACATCCAGCCGGCTCACAGGAAGTCCTGACGAGCCCGCTAAGAACTCTCTGAACACCAGGTTCTACTTCCTGTAAAGACCTGGTGATATTCTGAGTCATTTTCTGGCTCGTGTGATTTTTACCTTTTTTTTTTCTACTTTTAAGATCCAAACCTGAACCGTGCTGCTCCAATCAGCTGCTTTTCTTCAGGCAAATCATTCRGATGCATTTCAGTCACTAGTTTTTATCCTTCTAATAGTAAAGTGTAAATGAACGCAGCTGTTTGCTTTAAGCAGTATTAAATCCACATCTACCATCACACTGAGTGATRCAAGGAAAGCTTTGTTTCCTGTCACTAAACAGTTCTGTATGCTTTAACATTTTCATAACTAATGCAGCAAAGCTCCACCTGCTCGACTGAAAACATCGATGCATGCAGAGGAAACACAAACTACTGCAAAAACTGTCCGTCTTACAACGTTTTGAAATCTTATATCCAGCCAAAAAGTCTTTTTGATCTTGTTATGAGACTGATTTACTAAACAAGAACTGATTGTGTAAGAATAATAATCTTGTTTTCAGACCRTGTAAGATTATCTTGTTAGCCTGAAAATTTGACTCTAAGTCAAAAAATTTCTGCAAATAGAGAAATAAGCAAAAATTGAGTCAAATCAAATATTTCAAGAATCTTACTAAGTAAAATTTTCTAACTCCATTGGCAGAAGTTTTTGACTTAGAGTCAAATTTTCAGGCTAACAAGACAAATAATCTTAAAGATTATTATTCTTATACAATCAGTTCTTGTTTAGTAAATCAGTCTCAAAACAAGATCAGAAAGACTTTTTTTTAGTGAAACTTGGTTAGATGGACAGTTTTTGTAGTTTGGACCCCCAGTCATCGTATCAAAATTACAGAAAAAAAGGGCAAATTTCTTTATTTCAGTCTCTGAATTCTGAATTTGGTCACGTTTTCAGCAGCTAATTTTTCAAACTGGCAACTAAAGCTAAATGCTGTTGCCTGTTTTGTACCCATGTTTCTGGTTGAATCCACATTTTGGATTTGGACCAGTTCATATTTAGACTTGGCTGCTCTCAATGTGAGACAGAAAACTGAGGGAGTTGTCTTTAATGCTCCCTACTGGGACACGTTAGCATCAATAATAATGTACAGTTCTCACACCAGCTCTGCTACTAATGGTTTCTTTAGGCTCAGAGTTTTTGGATTGTTTAATAAGAGTTACTGTCTTGAAGCACCTGTGATTAATTCACCCTCTTACCTGTAAAATGACTTCCAGGTTTGGCACATTTAAAATAAAAATAATAATTCAGCAAAGCTTTAGCATTCAAAGAAGCTGTCAGCACATTTTACTTTTTCTTTTTTTGAATCGTGTGGTTGGTGAACTGCAGCCACCTGTTGGGCCACGTCTTTGACCCAGTTCTGTGGAAAAAAAAAAAAAGTGCGCTGCGTGATGCAGGACACGTTTACTGTCCAACAGGAACACAAACRGACACAGCAGGTTGTTTTTGTTTGTTTGTTTTTCCAGTAAAACCTTTTATGAATAGCACATGGTTCCAGACAGTTCAGTGGCAGTTTTTTTGTTTATCTGGGTTGTGCAAACCCAAGGGTTTTGTACAAAAATAAAAAATAAAACGTGAATATTGGAAAGTTGTAACATGAGCTTTCATAATAAATTTAGCAAAAATAAGTTTTCCATTTGTTTGTGTGTTATTGTGATAATTTTTTCTTTGTCAATAAGAGGTGCAATAAATAAGTATTTACAGAAAACACTTTGAACATGATCACAAATGTAAACAGCAGCTTACCAGAGGTATATATTGTAATTTAAGATGGGTTAGGCACGTCGATATAAGGTTGTTGTTTTTTTTCCACTGAAACACGACTGAAAGAATCCTTTCAGGACGAGACGACGCCGAACACAAACCTCGACATCGTTTTCTGTCAAAGCGCTAATTTCAGACACGGTCCTCTGCGGGACGTTTTGGTCAAAAGTTTTTCCACGAACTCAGGACGGGTTGTCGGGGGGGTGGAAGTGCTTCGACACAGAAACGGTCGCCTGCGGCTTGTAGGAGGGATCGCTCAGTTTTCTAACGGCAGCTCGGCCCGAGCCTCACAAATATTGACTCTTTGGGCATTATTTGGAGCCGTCGGCTGCTGAAATAGCCTGTGGTCACTTTGGTTCAGTCCATATTATATTTTGGGAACGCAAATATGGCTTGAAGGAAATCTGAAGGCACTGACTCCAGTGTGTCATGTTTCTGTTAGTGTCTGAACCAAAAAAAAAAAACTGGACGAGCCGAGAAGTTCGTCTGAAACGATTTGGACGTCTTAGTTCTTGCTTTTCAGGAGKTCAAAACTGAAACAAATAATCTACAAACTTAAACTTGCTGTCCTCCTCAGAAACRCTCTGTTAGAGTCAGTGGAAGTTTTGGCTCCAGGTGTTAGTGTGTGTTCCTCTGAGCCAGGATTATTTAAAAACATTCACGTTGAAGCTGCTGGGGTCCGTCTCGTGCCGACTCGCTCCGGCTGGACGTCAGTGGCAGCCGCAGGCGCGCACCACCATGTTCTTGTATTTCTTCAGGATGACGTTGGAGTTGTCGTCGAAGTAGAGCACGGAGATGGCGTGGAGTTTGGTCGGGGCGCAGCAYGGCTTCGGTACGTTCTCAGGGTTCATCAGGTGCACCTGGAACCAGGGGAAATACTGCGTTAAATATCACTGTCTTCTTTTAAAACACACTTCATGCAGCTTACAGCGGATATACACTCACCGGCCACTTTATTAGGTACACCTGTCCAACTGCTCGTTAACACTTAATTTCTAATCAGCCAATCACATGGCGGCAACTCAGTGCATTTAGGCATGTAGACATGGTCAAGACAATCTCCTGCAGTTCAAACCGAGCATCAGTATGGGGAAGAAAGGTGATTTGAGGCCTTTGAACGTGGCATGGTTGTTGGTGCCAGAAGGGCTGGTCTGAGTATTTCAGAAACTGCTGATCTACTGGGATTTTCACGCACAACCATCTCTAGGGTTTACAGAGAATGGTCCGAAAAAGAAAAAACATCCAGTGAGCGGCAGTCCTGTGGGCGGAAATGCCTTGTTGATGCCAGAGGTCAGAGGAGAATGGGCAGACTGGTTCGAGCTGATAGAAAGGCAACAGTGACTCAAATAACCACCCGTTACAACTGAGGTAGGCAGAAGAGCATCTCTGAACGCACAGTACGTCGAACTTTGAGGCAGATGGGCTTCAGCAGCAGAAGACCACACCGGGTGCCACTCCTTTCAGCTAAGAACAGGAAACTGAGGCTACAATTTGCACAAGCTCATCGAAATTGGACAAGAGAAGATTGGAAAAACRTTGCCTGGTCTGATGAGTCTCGATTTCTGCTGCGACATTCGGATGGTAGGGTCAGAATTTGGCGTCAACAACATGAAAGCATGGATCCATCCTGCCTTGTATCAACGGTTCAGGCTGGTGGTGGTGGTGTCATGGTGTGGGGAATCTTTTCTTGGCACTCTTTGGGCCCCTTGGTACCAATTGAGCATCGTTGCAACGCCACAGCCTACCTGAGTATTGTTGCTGACCATGTCCATCCCTTTATGACCACAATGTACCCAACATCTGATGGCTACTTTCAGCAGGATAATGCGCCATGTCATAAAGCTGGAATCATCTCAGACTGGTTTCTTGAACATGACAATGAGTTCACTGTACTCAAATGACCTCCACAGTCACCAGATCTCAATCCAATAGAGCATCTTTGGGATGTGGTGGAATGGGAGATTCACATCATGGATGTGCAGCCGACAAATCTGCGGCAACTGTGTGATGCCATCATGTCAATATGGACCAAAATCTCTGAGGAATGCTTCCAGCACCTTGTTGAATCTATGCCACGAAGAATTGAGGCAGTTCTGAAGGCAAAGGGGGTCCAACCCGTTACTAGCGTGGTGTACCTAATAAAGTGGCCGGTGAGTGTATAATTATAGTATTCATTTCATTTAAAAAAACACATTCACAAACAACAAAACTGCTCCTATTTACAAAAAATATATTTCAAACACTAATAAAACAAAAAAAAATTTAACACCTCAAACAGTAACTCATACAAATACAAAGTAAACAATTTTATATTTCTTTAACAATTTTTGCTTTGATCATTTTTTTTAAAGGAATTAATTGATCCAATACTTTTATAATCATTTCCAGATTATTCCACAGTCTTATACCTGTTACTGACGTGCATCTGTCCTTCAAATTTGTTTGGATTTTTGGTTTAATAAACACTKGTAATCCCTTCAAATTATAGCAACTTTCCCTCTTAAAAACATTTGATTGGATGTTTGAAAGTAACATTTTTATGAGCTTTATATTTAACCTACAGAATGTTATATTCAACCAACTCGTAAAATTTTAATAATTTTAATTGATGATACAATATATTAGATGGGTGACAGTAATGCTTTCTTGTGATAATTCTTATGTCTCTTTTTTGTAAGATAAAAATAGGATTAGTAATTGTTTTACATGCATTTCCCCAGACTTCTATACAATAAATCAAATGTGGAACAATTATTGCGTTATATAGTATAAATAGTGCTTTATCATTAAATAACTCCAACACATATAATTAAAGTTGCAAAGCAACTGTTTCAGAACCCAAGAGAAATTTTATCCATCTAGCTTTAAGTTAATTTAAACACGTTTTTTGCTCCATTTAGTTCCAAGCATTCCAACTGGTAAAATGCTAATCTCCCCATCATTATGAGCCTCCCATTAAAAACCACAACTGTACTCTTGGTTTTTAAAGGGTGGGTGTAATACTAAATGTACGTTTTTTGTTTATTTGTTATGTCATCAAAAACATACCCAGAGTGTTGCTTTGATTTATTCATGCACGTTTAAGAAATCCTTGAATCTCCTGCAGCCATGTGGAGCTGGCTAAACTCTTGCTGGTACAAAGCTCCGCCTATTTACACAAAGCTCCTCCCTGTAGCTCAGTCTGCAGCTGAGCTCCCGCCCCACAGCACACCCAGAAGAAAATGTTGGAAACAGTAGGAGGTTCTTAAAGTGTAACTCACCCCTACTGTGAAAGTATAACACCGGCCCCAGGGGCAAATTTGAGAAATTCCAACAAAGTGGGCGGTGCCAAGAGACACTGAGGGGGCGAGGATCAGCGAGGAGGTGTGGTCAGGACAAGGGAACATGACAGCTAGCTTAATTTGACGAGGTAGCATTTCTGAAAACGGCTAGTGTGGTCCAGATGCATAAAATATGTTGAAGTTTCACAAATCAAAGTTTTCACAAATCAAAAACTTGGTTTTAAATATTCTGCTATAAGTGAAGAATAACCCAGTAAAGGTTTGACGCGTCTATGTACTTTAGTTTTGAAACTAGAGCAGATTAAAGATGCTCAAGGTAGTAAAAGAAATTCGATGGAATCACCCTCTTCAGGGGAACCTGCAGGGTGACTGGGCTGATGTAGAGGATGGAGCCAGACCTAAAACGTTTGAACAGAACGGCTCTGTGGAAGGCAGAGAGACGGTCTTACCAGCGTCTGCACGATGGCGTGGTTGGTGGCGTTCATGTGGGCGTTCAGCGGGAAGGAGCACTCTCCATCACAGTAGTTGGCAGCGTAGCCTTCAGGAGCAATGATCCAGTCCTTGAGGACAAACAAAATTTAATTAGATTAGGAGGTAAATTCTGTGCTTTTTGTGGTTTTATCAAACTAAATCAACTTTATTTCCTGTTTCAGTGTTTGAGTATAAATCGTGTTACTGTGATGGTGCTTTCCCTCTAGATGTCAGTGCTGTGCTAACTGCTAACTGGTTTAAAACGAACTGAACTCTGCCCTCATCCTGGTTCTTCCTCTGTTCCCCTGTAAACACAAACTCACACCTGCAGAGATCACCTGACCAGGTGTGGGTAACAGCCTGTCCTGATGTTACATCAGCCTTTTATCACCCAACCATAAAGGTCTGAGACGTTTACGTGAGCAGATCCACGTTCCTCTGCTGTCAGACAAGAACCTGCTCAACTTCTTGTTTGGGGGATTTTGTCTTTGTTGCCAAAATCTGTCCAGAGCTTCAAGAGTTATTTTGCTAACAGACAAACAAAAATAATATTGCAAACATTTGTCTTTTGGCAGCAGACCGTAACTGAACCCATTTACAGATTTGTGTAGAACCAAAAACCACTTTGAGCGTTGTAAAACTCTCTTATCTGTCCAGAACCGGGCCGGATTAGAAAGCAGGTGTTTAAAATGTGTTGGAGGAGGACTGACCTGCCAGCCCAGCTCCCTGAAGCTGACGTAGAGCTCRTGTCGTCTGCACGCCGTCTTCTGATCGCTGCTGTTGTAATCTGAAACACAAGAACAGAAATGATGAAATTATTTACTGTGATCCGTATACCACCTGCCGTCAGAAGGTGTGTTAGCAAAATATCTCATGAACCGCTGAATCATTTCAGTGWACAAACGTAATTATTGCAAAGTTGGGATGTTGATTTGCAGATCTACTAAACACATATTTTATT